GGTGTTTTCCCGTATCTATAATAGAGGATATGTCCCTCTTTCTGTATTGTCTCCTTCGATTTAAGGTCAATTCCTATTGTGAGGACCTGACCATGATCCTCCTCCCTCGAGTTGATGACTCGCCAACTCGATGTGCTTACATTGAAGTTCTGACCCTGGATAAGGCTCAGCAGGTAGGTGGTGTATTCCCCCTTGCTCCTCGGCAAAAAGACCGTGATGGCCGCCCCTTTAGGGATGTTTTCTCCCTTCACTGCAACCAGTTCCGGCCCCTGCCAATTTTTAAGTTTAGGTGCGATTTCCATCAGCCAATTCGCCGATCTTGAGATACACAATCTATGAGGATCATGCCCACCCGAAAGTGTATCCCCGCAAAACGCAACTGACCCACATTTTGTATATCGTGGTGTTGCGATCCGATCGCCACTACTTTGTCCAGTATAGCCTCTTCTAGAGACGTTTGCTGGTCGGTGGTCAGAGCAACCTCTGGGAAGTCCTTTAGCAGCACCGCCATTTTCACTTGTCCAGCAATAGCGGCAAAGCTGGTGATACGTCCCTGCTTGCCTCCCGGTGTTGGACGGCTTTCCATCCTAGCTTTTTTCTTTCCCTGCCGGAGAAGAGGTGAGAGATTCTCGCTCCCTCTCTTGCCCTTTGATAGAGATGTGTCAGGGTGCTTGTGTACCACTTGTGGAGGACGATCCCAAGCAAGTGTCAGCCGCCCCTCTTGTAGTTTCCTTTGGATTTGGTCCCTTGGAACTTTTATTGTAATATTCTCAGTGTCGCTAGGGGGCTTCCCCACAGCTTCACCGGTGGACAAAGAAGCCGAAGCAACACTAGAAGAAATCTTCTGTCAACTGGACCGGACCAACAAAGGATTAAAAATAGATGAAGAATATCTTAACCGTCTAAGATTCGCTAATGACATAGTCCTATTGCCAAAAATCCTGAAAAATTACAAGCACAAATTAACGAACTAAATACAGCCATTAATAAAATAGGTCTTAAAATGAATTTAGCAAAAGCTAAAGTAATGTACACTGAACGACATTCTAATAAACTCAATCATATTCAAATCTCGAATGCCACATTATCCAAAGAAGAAAACATTCGACCAATTTGTACTACCAGTTATGACCTATGCATGCAAAATCTAGACACTTAAAACGGACATCATAAGGAAACTGCAGGTAGCTCAACACTCAATGGAACGAAATATGCTGGGGATAACCAAGAGAGTGGATACGACAAAAGACCCAGGTAAAGATAATCATCTACAGAGTCAAGTCTCTCAAATGGCAATGGCACCAATTAAGAGACCTAGAAGAAGACCGAACCTGAGATAGAACCATGATATAAGGAAATTAGCAGGGATAACTTGGGCCCGCATAGCCAACAATAGACAACAATGGGCCCAACTGCAAAGAGAGTATCTAAACATGTGATGAAGGCCACACCATAATTAGAAATGGTTGAATAAGCTGAAAATGATAATAATAATACTAAAATAATCGCATAACTACCTAGTTTTATGTCTAAAAACATCAGAAATCGAGAAAAAAACATCATTATTATTAAAATCTCACAATTGTACCAAGATATTTTTAAACTGTACAAATTTTAGTACTATTTTTTTTTCGCGACATCCCTCATTGCAAAAGTATGGTCCCCACTTGAAGTAGTTGAATTCCTGTTTCAGTGGAACGTCATCGTATCAGTACCGTACTAAGGAGCGTTCAGTACTATTTACACATAATTTATTTAATATTATTTGCTAACAAACTATTTTTTTTAGATAAAATTATAAGTTTTTATTTCGTTATTTACTTTTATTATTGTTATTAACACTAAATCTTTTGTTTTTTAGACTGTTTTTAGTAGGAAGTAACTTTCCTTTCATTTTTAATTCTGTTTAAATGACAATAACAATATTTTAATAAAGACCTTGATCTTGATTGTTGTTTGTTCTCATTAGAGCGGAGTCTCATTTGAATATTATATCAACTTTTTTTCCATTCATCAACAAATTATTTTTATTAATAAATATTTATTTTTATGTAATTTATTAATTCGTTTTCTATTTGTAAATTAATTTCTATTTCTCTTAGTTCCATATTATCTCTGTGTCCAAAAGATTTTGGAGATAATATGGATATAACTGGAATTTTGAGATAATTGGATTCTAAAATAATTTTATAATGTATAGTTTTTAATCAAAAAATATTTTTTAAATAATTTATTTCAACGATTTGATCGTTTGGTTTGGTATTGAGGAAATGATTACTCACACTGTTTACTACATTTTCTGTCATCTGTACGTAAATAGAAAGATACAGCCTTGATATACAGAGTGGTCCAATACAGGGATTCAGCAGAATTTTGTTATGGAGTTTATTTTATAACAGATAATTGCTTTTTAAGGAGGACCATATCAACAAATTTAGGAAGAACGCGATGGGATATTAATATGGCTGGGATATTAATATGAGCTCAACCCCAGAGGGGGCCTAAGGCTTTTGTTTTTTTTAAAATGAAAAATAATTTTAAAAAACACATTTTTTGAATAAAACGTTTACATGAATTTCTCTATCAATAGATTTCATAGACTTGGTTATCATACCGTGTTCCCGTAGATTATTTAAATACCTACAAATTTTCTAAAAAAAATAAAAATTAACAGATTTTTTGAACACGACAAAATAATATTAACTAAACAAAACTAGAAAACATCATTTTCTGCATCACAAGCAAATAAAAATTAATACGTAGTCAAGAGTCATAATTCAGGATTTCTCGCCCGGCAGTACATGGGGGGCCGGCACCCCCGGGCACCCCTGTAGTTACGCCAATGCTTGGATTGCTAAAGATTTTATTATTGTTAGAAATGAATACGGCCTCCTTAAATTTGCGCTTTTTCCAATGGCGTTCTTTGTGGACAACCCGGGCTTCCGACCATTTTATGTTGTGGCGCTTGGACCACACATGATCTGCAATACCCGACTTCATTGTTTCACCTCTTTGCGTATGTTTTTTATGTTCGTCAAGTCGTACATCTAGAGGACGTTTTGTCTCTCCAATATACGACTCACCGCACTCGCAAGGTACCTGGTAGATGCACTCTTTCTCTTGGTTTGATGAGTTTGAGGTTTTGTTTTTGTTAGGGCACTCCTTAAAGTAGTTGCAGACTTAAAAACAGTTTTTATTTTATATTGCATAGCTATTCACCTGATCTTTTCCGATGTTCCTTTTAGTTAGGTTTAGAGAGAGAGAGAGAGTGTGTGTGTGTGTGAGAGAGAGAGAGAGAGAGAGAAAGAGAGAGCATCCTCCTCAGGCTGGCGTACCAATGAGTCGGCCCTGCAATTAGATATAAATTTGTCTATGGATTTTGCAGAGTAACCATTCTGAAGCAAATCGCTTATAATATTATTTAGTTCAGAATTCAGAGATTCTTGGTCACTGCATATAGTGATTGCTCTGTGACATAGTGTTTTAATTATACCTCTTTTGGTTGCTTCAGAATGGTTCGACTGAGAATTTAAATATTGTCCCGTATGTGTTGGTTTTCTATATACAGAAGTGCTAATGGATCCATAATCCATCGCTTCTACTGACAAGAACATCCAGAAACGGCAGACAGAAGTTTTTCTCTTTCTCAATCGTGAATCTGATTGAGTTATTTCGTGAATTAAGATGATTAAGAAAAGAATCAAACTGTCTATCGGTTCCGTTCCATATTATAAAGACATCACCAACATATCGGAGCCAGATTTTAGGTTTGACGACTGCCGTACTACATACATACTGCCATTACTCGCTGACGAGTATTTGACACGCATCGGAAGATGGTCACGTAAAGCGTTTTCTTTCATGAGCTTTTCTGTGACTGAAAAGCCCAATACGTGATGTTATCTGTCTACCGCACTCCGGACATTCAAAAATCTCATTACATTGTTGCCTCTTCACTTTTTGGTTGTCGCTGTTAACTGAGTTTACAATTCTTCTCCATTCCGTTCTATTGTGAGCTGCCTCTGCCCACTCATTCTGCTTGTTAATCCCCTTTAAGTTTTCGTGGAGAATATCCTTGTACCTTTTGAGTTGTCCGCCCGGCCTCATCTTACCGTCTGCAAGCTCACCGTAAAGCATAGATTTTGGTATGCGGTTTTCTTGCATTCTGCATACGTGACCAGCCCATCTTAAGCGAGACTTTGTAATCATGACTTCAATAGTCTCAGTTAGCTTTTTCAAGGACCGATACGTTTGAGACATGATAGAACCGTTTGATTCTTAAGAGTTGTCTAATATGTCTCTGTTGCAATTTGTTTAATGCGTTCATGTGTCGGCGGTACGCGGCACCCAGGTTTCGCTTCCATATAACATGGTGGAAATTATTTTTGCTCGGTACACTGCAAGTTTCGTGTTTGTGCTCAAGTTATGATTGTAGAAAACCCTGTCTTTTAATTTCCAGAATGCTCTTGAGGCGCTGCTAATCCTGTGCTGAATTTCAGAGTCGATATTGACCTTTTCTAATGCTGCACTAATGGCATTGGTCTCGAACCATTCCAGTCAGTTCAATTATTGGTCAGTGATACTTCTGACTGAAAGGTTGTGTAAGCAAAATAAATAAAGACACTGAAAGTCAGAATTTCTTTTAGTTTTAAGTAATCTCCCATTAAATACACTCCCAAAACTAATCAAACAACAACAAACAAAGCTGTATATGGTAGCGAATCATTCAAATTTCAATATAGGCATCATCCTGTAAGGTAGTACCGCGCCGTACTACTTGAGTCCGTCTCTGACCTTGCTCCACTGCGCAGGCGTGCCGCTCCGCATTTCCTAACTCGCCGCGAACCGAACTAGTGCGAAGTCAAAGTGCCGCTCCGTCTTTTGGTACAATGAACTTACCGTTGTCCGCTCTACACAGCCACAATAAGCGCTCGTCCTCCTCATAGCAGTATCCAAGTGAGTTTGACGTCTCATTGTGACAGAACAACCGTTTGGTTAGTTTCGCTTGTTTCTTCATCGAGTGTACACAAAATATTGATAGTTTTGTGTAAAATAGTGTATATATCGTCGCAAAAATTTAGTATAATTTTTTTTCTTTTTGAAAATATTTAATCAGTATTTTTGTGATGATGCCTTATTGGTTTTATCAGTGACGCCAATTTTAGATTATAAACCTCTCGTTACACAGTGAACAATAAAAGAAATATTGGTATAAAAGTGATCGTAATTAGAGATTTTCGAATGGAAGAACATCGAAAGTAGGTAAGATTGGAACGCATTCACTTTATTACTCTTGAGAGCTCCTGATTGGTTTGATTCAAACATAAACGCGCCCAGTGATTTTTTTTACATTATAAGTATTTTATTTATTTTAATCACGCTATGTATTGGTGAAACATTAACGGATGTTTTGTCTTATTTTATTTAATTATTATTAATGAGAACAGATTTTAATTCTAGGATGTATATACAGGGTGTATAGAGTACGAGGTCAAATTTTAAAGAACGATACTTGTGACGATACTACAGGGTGGTCCGATAAATTAAATATTTTAACTAAACTTGTTAGACTGAAATCATAAATTTGAAATGTTTTTGTGCCAAAAGTTGAACATAAACTGTTTTATCGTTATTTTTTCGCAGAAAAAATTATGATCAATTTAAAAAAAAATTATTAATTTATTATTTCAGTCAAACAACTATCTACACAACGTGTTTATTTTTTGGCAATAATGACATGTATTGACTATTTCCATTTTAAATATGTTGAGAACGGTTGCTCGTAACGATTTTTACCAAGAAACATTTTTTACGTAAAAAGTATATTTTTTCACTCAGTAGTTTTATACAGGTACGGACGAAAAGTTATTACTCTTCAAAACAGTTAAAACATACGTAGGTGGCGCCCCCTACAAACAGGAGTCATATTGACATCAAATTCAAATTTTTCATGCCAAAAGACCCCCAGACACCAATTTTCATCCAAATATTGACGTTACTTCAAAAATTTATTTGGAAAAAATAGAAATATAAATGAAACTTCTACACCCTGTATCTCCAAAACTAAGCATCTTAGGGCATACATTTATACGAACCTTTTTTACTTGTTTTAAATACAAAGTTCAATACAAGAAATACAGTTCGGACCACCCTGTATATTACCATATTTTTTATTTTTCTCTAAAACGATATTTGGAAAAGCATAAATGAGATTAGCTATTGTAGAACAAGCATTTTTTTGTGAAGAATGCATTTTTCTCAAAAAGTTAATAGAAAAAATGTTTCCTCTTATCCAGACGATCCGGGGACACACTGTATATACAGGATGACACATTCCTAGACTCTATAATATTTAGACTTACACGAAAAATCAGAAATAGTACGGAAAGTATGAAAACTATCTGCACCCCTACATAAATTCGAGCAAAATAAAAAAGCATATTTGGACATCCTATATGAGAGGAAGAATTTATTTTTAACACTATTCTGGAAATCTACGTACAGTGCCGGTCTGTAGCTAGGGGGCATCCGTACAGGGGGGAACGAAATTCTCTATTAGCCAGCAATTCATGGGCGTGCAATAAATATTTTAAATAACATTACTTATTTATACAAAAATTTCAAAAATACTAAATCAGTTTTATTTTTTTCAACGTTTTTCCACGTAAATGAGACATATTAATTTTATTTGTCTTACATAAGTAAATTTAAAAGTATTCTAGGAATGTCAAAAATTATCCAGTTATCAGTGGCGTTACAAGTACAAGGAGCACTTAATCGAATTTTATTTATAAATAAATGTAGATACGTCAAAATTTTTGTTAATTTTTATATTTGTCCAGAGCAGTTAAAAATACGACTTGTTTGTATTCTAAAATATTTTAAAATTATAGATAATAAGTTTATTACATGTTCACCAAAAAAGAAAAGAAGAAAATGTATCAAACTCTCCATAACATAGGCGTACATGATTATGTTATTTTTTGCATATTTATTAAGTAAAAATTTTTTTCATAGCAGGTATAACAAACAATATTACAAAAGCCAAAAAAGGGAGAAATTTTTTTATTAAAAGAAATATCTGAGCTACAAAAATTTAAATATATTCGTCAACTAAAAGAATAACTGCTTCCATGTTGGGAATAACGAAAATTTCAAAATAATTACATTGTTTTATTAAGACTGGTTTTGTGCACAATATGTATCATATATGATTTGTGACCTAAAATCGTACCACAATTAATAAAAAATGAGGTTATGATTAAAAACTCGTGGCTTTTTCTGTTTGTATGTAAACTAAAAATAAAATATAGAATTTAGGACTTTATTTTACTTTTTTCAGTAAAGCATCACTTAAAATCGAAATAATTTGTTATTAGTTGGTGAGGTTAGTTAAACTTAAAATATCTTAAAAAATGTATTATTTTTTGTAAATTTGATGCCCTCTTGCGGACAAACGAAGCACTTTTGTATAGAGGTAAATTGTGTTCAATTAACTTATTTCATTACAAAAATACATACAGGGTCGTTGTTATGTATGGAAACGGTCGATTATTAGGTAAAATATAGGAGGTAGTAGTAAGTCGTGATACATAAAAGTTTTATTTTTTAAATAGAACCTCCTGTATATTACTGCATATTTCAATTCTTCCTTCAATTCTAAGCACAAATCAAAATACACACAATGTACCTCAAACCAACCGTTTCCGAGTTATTGACTTTCGAAAATATCACTTAAACAATTTGATTTAATTAATTTTGATAGGTTCAGTTTCATTTAACGATGCCATTCTGCCGAAACTGTGATACTTAATAATATTTGACATTAGTTCTTAAGTTAGCATTTATAAATGTATAAAATGAGATAATATCAAGTCTGGAAATTACAAAATTTTCGTTTAACATTTCAATTCTTCATTTCATTTCATTTAAAAAAATAATGTGCCACAACTTTATGACCGACCCTGTATACTTAAATTTACTAGTAGCTAATAGGCATTGAAATTGAAAACCCCATTACAACAGTATTACAGTTTCGGCACTATGGCATCATTAAATGAAACTGAACATATCGAAATTAATTAAATCAAATTGAAATCAAAAGTGATATGTTCCAAAGTCAATAACTCGGAAACGGTTGGTTTGTGGTACATTGTGTATTATGATTATTGCTTAAAATTGAAGGAAGAATTGAAATATGCAATAATATACAGGAGGTTCTATTTAAAAAAATTAAACTTTGATGTTCCATGACTTTATGACCGACCCTGTATATATAAATTTGTTGCTCGCCAATAGACATTTAAAAACCCTATAATTTTTGTATTTAACTTTTTTTTGTACTTGTATATTTTACCTAATAATCGACCGTTTCCATACATAACAGCGACCCTGTAGTAATCTCTAAGAAATATTGTGACACCCCGTATTTATTAGACAATTTGGCGAATGCGCCAGAATACTAACCCCAAGAAAAGCATTCTAAAATTATTTTGAATGCGATTTCAAGTTATTGTAATTGTTTATTATAAACTTTTATTCATTTACATAAACTAATTAATGATATTCAGTTATTACTGCAACGCCTAAAACAGTTAGTTTAAATAATTTATGCAAATAATTGTAAATAATAATATAATTTACTTAATAGCAAGTTTTTTCCAAGAAACTCGTAGGTAGTTGTTAGAAACTTATGTATGTAAGACTTTTGTATCTCTTCTTGTCTAGAAGAACCTTACTGGAATTCTGCGCCTAACCAAAACAGAAAAAAAATGCCATTATAGATACAAAATAAAAAAGCATGCAAGAAAAAGATATCTAATCAAAACAGTCAACTTACCAACTTAGAGACTATGGTTCTCCATATTATGTATTATGCCCTCCATATTATGGGTATTATGAGACTCTACTCCGGTCCTCTATTAAATTTGTCCTCCGAAACACAGTCTGAAAGAATAAATAATAATAATATCAACATACCTCTATATTGATATAGATAGATCATGAAACAATTATGTTTACATTAAAAAGTCGCTAAAATAAAGATGTAAATAATTATAATAAAAATGTTAAACTAAAACGTTGCATTTTAGTTTTCGAAAAATGAAAAAACACCTTTACAGAGTGATAACTCGGCTATTATTACACCTACGGTAATCAGCAAAAAATGAATCATTTAATTATTCCAAAAGCTTCATTTCTGCTTTATTTGAGTTTTACGATAAAACGCAAGGTTTTTGAGTTAATTTATATTTATAAAAAAAATGACGGAAAAATATGCAGATTTTAGATGAAAAATCAACATTTTCAATCCTAAATAACTAGGAAAATATTAATTTTCTGAAAAAATGTTATAGAACATTTTTATTTTGATTTTTGTAATTAAAATGGGTGATTTATTTTCCACTCCCGAGAAGGCACTCACTCCAGGATAAAAGCAAACATCGATACTATGTAACTTTTGTTTCTTACATAGGTATATCTATTCACTGTTAAAATTTCACGTCAATCGATGCAAGTGTTCAGAATTCGAATCCTAAAACCCTCGCTTACTGGCCTATATTTTTTTTCAGTGTTTTTTTAAAAATACAGACAATTTTGACAACCTTGTATAGCTCTGTCACAAATCAGTTCCAAAAGTCACGTCCTAAAACTCATAGTAATTTAACTGAAAATCAGTATTCTAAAAAGATTCTTTTATCACGTTTCAGACAAGAATGACCCACACCAAGGAATACCGGATAGCAATAAGCGACCATGGGATCCAGCGAGTCTAGCTTGGACTCTTTGAAAGGCTACGATAAGTCAATTCAGTTGTCAGAATCTCCAGCCACCATGAGCGACAGTTTCAAATCGACCGACGCACAACCCTCCGACCAGGAAATAATGGCCCTAGCTATCCACGAGGGCGAGGACTCGGCCACCGAAAGCTTACCAGCCACTGAAGAGCTGGTGGAAGAACCCCACGACAGATCTGACGGCTCAGATTCCGGCCTAGGCTCGGAAATTGCCGAGGAAAGGGTGGATAACGCCCCCAACGCACCCAGCTATGAAAGCGACAGCGAAACTACATTCCTGGACAGGATAAATGAATCTGAACCTTCAACGAGCAAAGCTGGAGAACAGGAATCTTCAGGTGCTTCCTCGAGCTCGAGACCTATCTCAGATCTCGTTGCCATACTTAAAAAGGGACCTACCAAGAGTAACCTGAAGAGGAAGTTGCAGTTGGAGGAGACTGATCAGCCGAAAGTGAAGAAAAAAAGAGGGATTACATTTGATAGCGTTACGGTGTTCTATTTTCCGAGGGCTCAAGGGTTTACGTGTGTCCCTTCGCAAGGAGGGTCTACTTTGGGAATGGCTGCACAGCATCATCAGGTGAGGAAGTTCTCCATTATGGAGCATGCTAATGAACAACGCAGAATACATCGACAACTTGTTCAACAGCTCAGGTGAGTTTTTCATTATAAGCCATAGATAAAAGACTTACAAATACAGGATGTTTCTGTTTACTTAGATCCATACCAAAGTTATATTTTTTCTTATGGAACACCCGATATTTTGTTTCATATTTAGATTCTTGGTCCCAAAAAAAGGCATGTATTATAAGGGTTAAATATGTTTAAAATCTTTGGTTTTTGAGATATTTAAATATGCATGCTACAATAGAATAGATTATTAACACCCTGTCCGTTACTTTTCAGAATTAATTCTTGTGCTGAGTTTAAAGGTAGAGAAAGGTCTCTTTTCTGAAAAATGTTATTGCTTTCTGAATTTTATATAGTACCAAAATTGCTAATTTCTATTTTAAGGATTTATTTTACATTAAAAATTCGTTATTTCAAATACAACACCCTGTATTTTTTAATAATGAAGCAGATTCAAATGTTTTTTCAAAACCATATTAGTTTCTATACCTATCTAGCTTAGATTTTGAATAAAAAGCAATTTTTCAATAAAATGGCAACCAAGGTGTTGTCATGGCAAGTTTCTAGTGACAGTTAGTAGCTATTTTCAGCTCTGCCAAATTGAACAAGTAGTTTTTCAAAGGAACGCATAATATTCGGAAGATTTCTATTTGGATATCTTTGAGCATAAGCCCTTGAGGCTAAGAAGCGATTTTCCTCACAAAATAAAATCACTAGTAACATATCCATTCGTTCCGCCAGCAGATATTGCTTTATTTTTCTGGATAAAATAATGAATACTAAATATTAAACTATTCTGGGTAAATTTAAGTAAACTGTTATAAATCTAAATAATAATGTCCATAAATTAATGTTGCTTTTGAAAATAGTTACTAACTGTTATTAGAAAATTACCATGGCGACCCAAGCCATCTTGATTGCCATTTTATTGAAAAATCGCTTTTTATTCAAAATCTGAGCTAGATAAGTATAGGAAACCCTAATATAGTTTGAAAGAGCATTTGAATCTGCTTCGATTCGTTTAAAAAAATACAGGGTGTTGCATTTGAAATAGCGAAGTTTTTATATAAAATATATCCTTCAAATAGATCAGCAATTTTTGGTACCCCTGTATAAATTTAAGGAAGCAATAACATTTTTCAGTAAAGTTTATTTCTCTACCTGTGAACTAAGCACAAGAATTAATTCTGAAAAGTAATGTACAGGGTGTTATTAATCTATTCTATTGTAGCCTGCATATTTAAATATCTCAAAAACCAAAGATTTTAAACATATTTAACCCTTATAATAAATGCCTTTTTTTGGGCCCAAGAATTCACAAATGAAGTAAAATACCGGGTGTTCCATAAGAAAAAATATAACTTTGGTATGGATCTTAGTTCTGACATACCCTGTACATTTCAAAGTAATTTTAAATTATGCACATTGCCTTTCTATTTGGATATCTTTTCAAATATCTGAATGTTCTTCTGAATTCTTTCCAGAGCGGAAAGAAGCGTAAACTTCGGCCCCCTGACCTGGTCCAGCGACGACAGCGACAGCGAGGACGAACTCAGCGACGCCTCCGAATCCGAGATGGACCTCGACAACTACTACTTCCTCCAACCGGTCCCCACCAGACAGCGCAGGGCCCTGCTCAGAGCCTCCGGAGTGCGAAAAATCGACTCCATGGAGAAGGACGAGTGCAGGAACATCCGAACTTCCAGAGAATCCTGCGGTTGCGGTTGCAAAGGATACTGCGATCCTGATACGTGCTCTTGCAGCCAGGCCGGCATCAAATGCCAGGTGGATAGACTCAATTTTCCTTGCGGTTGTACTAAGGACAACTGCGGGAACTCTACGGGAAGAATAGAGTTTAATCCTGTGAGGGTTCGGACCCACTTCATCCATACTTTGATGAGACTGGAGCTGGAGAAGAAGCAGGAGGAAGAATTGAGGGAGAAGAGACATAACTGGATGAACAACGAGAGACTCCAGCAGGATTCGGTGCAGATGAATGTGGTGAGTAAGTGTTCGGGCCAGCTGCTCAGAGACATCAGCCTGAACGCTTACATAGAGGTGGAGAATTGCGTGAATAGTGGTAGTTTTACCAACTTGCACTATGGCGCTCCCGGAGAGGGACCTGGTGGTTTAGGAGGAGGAGGAGGAGTAGTAGGAGGGAGTAATTCTTCGACGGCGGGGTTTGGAGAATTGCCGGAGAGTGACGACTCGTTCGACTTGTACCAGTACAGGGAGAACTGTTACAGGGAACAAGCCGATAGAAAACAACAGGTAGGTAATAGGATATAGTATATTATTATACAGGGTGTTCCGAACTGTATTCGGGAAGCTTGAGCAGCATATTATGCAGATAAAAATAAGTAAAAAAATTTCTATAAATGTATGTCCTAAATTGCTTAGTTTCGGAGATACAGGGTGTAGAAGTTTCATTTTTATTTCGATTTTTTCCAAATCATTTCTGAAGTAAAGTCAATATTTGGATGAAAATTGGTGTTTGGGGGTTTTATGACGTGGGAAATTTGATTTTGATGTCAATATGACTGCTATTTGTAGGGGGCGCCACCTACATGTGTTTTAACTGTTTTGAAGAGTAATAACTTTTCGTCTGTACCTGTATAAAACTACTGAGTGAAAAAATATACATTTCCGTAATTTTTTACGTAAAAAATATCTCTTGGTAAAAATCGCTACGAGCAACCATTCTTCAGATATTTAGAATGGAAATAGTCAATACATGTCATTATCGACGAAAAATAAACGTGTTGAGTAGATATAGTTAAGCCGGGACCCCATTAGGTCACACGCCACGCGACGCCACGCCATCCCACGTCGCAACACGTGGGCCCACGTGGGAAAGAGTGTACACATGAGATCTGGGACAAACGACACACGTGTGATAGCTTGGGATGGCGTGACGTGGAGTGTCGTGTTGCCTAGTGTGTACGCAATACATGCAATTAAAGGGAAAAACATACGCACAGATCTTCATGACGTCGGGTAGTATGCCGCCGCGTGGCGTGGCGTGTTGGCTAATGAAATCCCGGCATTATTTGACTGAAATGATATATTTAGAATCTTTTTATTTTTTCTTAAATTAATCATAATTTTTTTTGAAAAAATGATGATAAAAAAGTTTCTGTTGAACTTTTGGCACAAAAACAATTCAAATTTATTTTAGTCTGATAACTACCGTATGATCGAGAAAAAACGGCGTCAGCGATGGCTATGGAATGAAGATCGCTGTCATTTTATACAGGGTGGCCCATCGAAAACGTTCCGCAAGGCATAACGGCCAGGATATTTTTTTTTCAAAAAATCCAAAAACACGTCAATTTTGTTTGTGAGGGGGACAACTTTTGCCCCAAAAATGATTGCAAAATCTTCAACCCTCTAAGTGGGGGTGTCATCCCCCAACTTTTTTCAAATGGGAAGGGGGGTCAAGTGGTACCGCAATGAAAAGGGCTTTTTATTCTCTATACTTTCACGCTTCGTTTTTGAAAATCGTTCGAGTCATTGAGAAAATATGAAGGATTGAAATTTGAAAAGTTTATTTAAACATTTATCAGAGTAAATGATAAGGATAAATTCCTTCGACCAATTTGCTGTTTTTTTCTTATTATTTCTAGATGTTTACGCATTTTTTCACTTGCCACAAGGTTGAACGATCAGGTGCTGCAGTTGCTAGATAGCTGTTCTGTGACTTGTGCGTTGAAGTTCTTCTCAATATCGTTAAACTGACCCAAAATAGAATTTCCAAAAATACCAGCCCACACGTTCAATTTCTGAGGGTTTTGTGTGTGTACCTCGTGAAAAACCCCTCAGCCCAGTACCGACAGTTATGCCGATTAACTACACCGTTCAAAAAGAAAGTACACTCATCCGAAAAACACACATTAAATAGGAAATTATTATCATTCGCCACTCGTTCACTCACAGTTTCACAAAATTGCAAGCGACGATTAAAATGGTCTTCGTTGAGTTCTTGTACCAACCGAATTTTGTACGGGTGGAACTTGTGTTTTTTTAATATCCTTTGGACACTGGTACCATTCACGCCGGCTAATTTTGCATTTGCTAATTTTCTTGTACTCAGCGTACTATCCATGGCAACTTGGCCGAATACGAATACCTCCATAGCTTCATTTACTACATTTACTTCATTTACTATTTTCCCTCTGTCTCTTTTTATTCATAGCGGAACCAGTTTCGCGAAATTTTGCTACTAACTCGCGAACAATTTTGCCATAAAGGTGTTTTTCAGGATGGCATTCATTGAATATCTGCGGAACCCGATTGCTACATTCATTATTTTTAAAATAAAGTTCGATTATTTCCACTTTTTCTGCAAGTGAGTACACCATAATTGTTAAAAACTTTAACGATATTGAGAAGAACTTCAACGCACAAGTCACAAAACAGCTATCTAGCAACTGCCGCACCTGATCGTTCAACCTTGTGGCAAGTGAAAAAATGCGTAAACATCTAGAAATAATAAGAAAAAACAGCAAATTGGTCGAAGGAATTTATCCTTATCATTTACTCTGATAAATGTTTAAATAAACTTTACAAATTTCAATCCTTCATATTTTCTCAATGACTCGACCGATTTTCAAAAACGAAGCGGGAAAGTATAGAGAATAAAAAGCCCTTTTCATTGCGGTAGAGTAAACGCCACGAATGTTTGGGAGTCATTCATCGCTTGATGAAGTTAGAATCGACACGCGCGCTATCATTTTTACATTAAAAACGTAAATTTTTACCGCAAACGTAGGTTTTTAAAGGACGGTCTAATCATCTGCCTGCGCTCCTCCTACTTATTCTAAAATGTTAGCGTGATTGACAAAGACGATACTATATCGAGTTTCTTTGATTGATTCGTTTTTGTGCGTCAGGCCATTGGTGTGCTTGCAGTGCGACCAATGGAGCATTCCATTTTATATTTATAACCAAATATATGTTTTGAAACAAACAACAAATTACAACAGATTATATATTGATTATTATATGACTTGAAACACCACGGCACTGGAATTAACCGATGAATCATTCCCAAACATTCGTGGCGTTTACTATACCACTTGACCCCCCTTCCCATTTGAAAAAAGTTGGGGGATAACACCACCGCTTAGAAGGTTGAAGATTTTGCAATAATTTTTGGGGCAAAAGTTGTCCCCCTCACAAACAAAATTGACGTGTTTTTGAATTTTCTGAAAAAAAAATTACCCTGGCCGTTATGCCTTGCGGAACGTTTTCGATGGGCCACCCTGTATATAAATTTATATGGGAAATGTCATTGATGTTCATTTCCCAGCCAACTGGACGCCGTTTTTTTCGATCATACCCTATTTAATCAACATGTTTAATTTATGTCAATGATGACAGGTATAGATAATTTTGATTCCAAATATCTCGAGAACCATTACTCGTTGCGGTTTTTACCAAGAGACCTTTTTTACGTAAAAAACGTCGTAAAGGGGTATTTTTTACTCAGTAGTTTTATACAGGTACGGACGAAAAGTTATTACTCTTCAAAACAGTTAAAAAATAAGTAGGTGGCGCCCTCTACAAGTATTAGTCATATTGACATGCAAATCAAATTTCTCATGTAAAAATCTCCCAGACACCAATTTTCATCCAAATATTGACGTTACTTCAGAAATTATTTGGAAAAAATCGAAATAAAAATGAACCTTGTCTCTCAAAAACTAAGCATTTTAGGACAAACATTTGTACAAACTTTTGTACTTATTTTTATCTACAGAATATGCTGCCGAAGTTTCCGGAATAAAGTTCGGACCACCCTGTATAACATCCTGAGAAAATTATAGAATCGAAATATTTTTCTTGAAAAATTTCGATTTAAACAAGGAAGATCAGGCTTGTTATACATTATTCAGCAAGAAATATCGATCGTAGACGTTGAATACCATCGATTTGGGGCCGATATGTGTACATATATATTTTCGAATACGTAAATGTTTACCTCCGACGCCAATTTTAAAAATAGATCGGTTAATACAACTTTAATACGGAACATTTCTCTAACTAGAGATACATTCAACGTCCTTTACAATAGTTCTATTTTCATTGCTTTAAGGAAGCTGATTTTTTTTATTTTCCAATAGTTAGGTTCCTTAAGTATTTATTGTTACTAGCTATTACTAAAAGTGAATGGCGAAAAGTTACATTTAACTTTTTAAAAGTTTTAAAAATAATTTAACATACCTAATGTAATTAATTTTTGACAGAAATCCAAAAAAATGGAAAATGAGGTAAAACTCATACATTAAGTCAAACTAGGTGATCTGGATTAAAAAATATCTTTGTACCCCGGGCGTCCCAATATACAGGGTGGTCCGAACTGTATTCCGGAAACTTCGGCAGCATATTCTGCAGATAAAAATTTTCCTATAAATGTGTTCTAAAATGCTTAGTTTCAGAGATACAGGGTGTAGAAGTTTCATTTTTATTTCGGCTTTTGTTAAATATATTATGAAGTAACTTCAATATTTGAATGAAAATTAGTGTCTGGGAGTTTTTTGACATGAGACATTTGATTTGATTTGATGTCAGTATGACTCCTACTTGTAGAGGGCGCCACCTACATATTTTTTTAACTGGTTTGAAGAGTAATAACATTTCGTTTGTACTTGTATAAAACTACTGAGTAAACAAATATTCATTTACGACTTTTTTTACGTAAAAAAAGTCTCCTGGTAAAAATCGTTACGAGTAATGGTTCTCGAGATTATTTGGAATCGAAATTATCAATACCTTTCATCATTGACATAAATTAAACATGTTGACTAAATATTTATTAGACTGAAATCATAAATTTGAAATATTTTTGTGCCAAAAGTTCAACAGAAACTGTTTTATCATTGTTTTTTCGCAGAAGATTTTACGATCAATTTAAAAAATAAAAATTTGCCAAATTTATTATTTCAGTTAAATAACTATCTACTCAACGTGTTTATTTTTTGACAATAATGACATGTACTGACTATTTCCATTCTAAATATTTTGAGAACGGTTGCTCGTAGCGATTTTTAACAAGAGACATTTTTTACGTAAAAATAGTCGTAAATGTATATTTTTCCACTCAGTAGTTTTATACAGGTACGGACGAAAAGTTATTACCCTTCAAAACAGTTACAGCACACGTAGATGGCGCCCCACAGTGGGGTATTTGACACTGATAGTTGATCGAATTTTTTTTATGTAGACCTTATATAAATTATTGCTATTTTCAATTAAAGAGGAAATAATATGAACAAAATAAAGGATAATTCGTCGATTCTAAAAAAAGAAAGAAAAATCACTGTGTCAGTGTTTCCACGGTCAGTGCCAGTAGTAATATCGCAACTACTACTACTAATGCTACGACTGATCCGCGAGCAATGCCCATACCACTAAAGTCGCTACTAATGCCAAATTGTGCTATACTGCTAATGGCACTAATGCGATCGCTTTGTATACAACAATGCCATCGCGGTTTACACCTCGCATTAGTATATCACTGATTGGCAAATTAGAGGAAACCAACCATGCTGAATTCTTCGAAATGCGCAACTAAATCTCTAAGTATAATAAAAATGTCACAAATTTAATCAAATTTTCTGAACGCCTAACTTTTAGTTGCAAAAAAAATCGTTAGTATAGAGAATATCAAAATAAATAATACGTTTTTGTAGAATATATACCTGCAGCTTGCTGAGCCATTTTCAATCAAAACGACAATATAAACGTAAAAAGAGCACAAGAACAACAACAATTTATAATTTTAAACATAAAATTTAGCCATTTACCTCTTATCTGTGAGAAGTAACAACTTTGACGTTTCGTTGAAACAAATGAATGCAACTAAACACACCCACCGCAACGCCATTCATGGCAGAGATGATTTAACTTATCATTTATCTTTTTTTGGGAAATCTTAAACACATTTGCTTTTTCGAATTTCGATCACCTTTTTCATGCTAATACCCCACCGTGCGCCCCTACAAATAGAAGTCATATTGACATCAAAATCAAATTTTTCATGTCAAAAAACTACAATACACCAATTTTCATCGAAATATTGACGTTACTTCATAAATTATTTGGAAAAAAATCGAAATAAAAATGAAAGGAGTACATACATACATTTATACGAACTTTTTGACTTATTTTTATCTGCAGTATATGCTACCGAAGTTTCCGGAATACAGTTCGGACCATCCTGTATATCGGTCCCCGGAATAGGTCCTGAACTAGTTCCTTTCGTTCCGGGATCGGAATAGTTCATTGGAACTAGTTCGTTCACGAACTGCACACCTCTACTCCAGAGTTTACTACGATTTTTCTTTCAATTTTCCAGCACCAAGCACACCAACAGCACCACCACCACCACCAGCACCAGCCCTTTACCTCCCAACTGGCCTGCTCTGCGAATCATCATCAGGTAAGGCTGTGCACAATGAACAAATATTTCGTTATCACGATACATTACATTATTACGTTACATTGTAAACAAGTAAAAGTAGTTAAATTAAATTTAAATAAAATGTAATTTTATTCGAAATAATTTATCATAATAATGATAATATACCGGGTGGTCCGAACAGGGTATTCCGGAAACTTCGGCAGCATATTCTGCAAATAAAAATAAGTAAAAAGTTCGTATAAATGTATTTTCTAAAATGCTTAGTTTCGGTGTTACAGGGTGTAGAAGTTTCATTTTTATTTCGATTTTTTCCAAATAATTTTGGAAGTAACGTCAATATTTGAATGAAAAGTGGTGTCTGAGAGTTTTTTGACACTAAAGCTGTAAGAATTTTGATCATTTCATATATATTTGGGCGAGCCGAAAAACGCTCTTTACCATCTTTTGACGGGAGATGCACTAATATCTTATCGACACTTTACGACATCGTCTGTTAATATTGAAAAAGCTTTGCTTGCCGTATCGGTGAAAACCAGCCCCTGGACAGCCTACTTGATGAAGGGTAGGCCCAGAAACCCGTTGTGGGAGTGGAGCTTCGTTCCCCCCTTTACGACAAGCAAAATAATTTTCTTTTTACTTTTTATTTTGTTTTCTCTACTTTTGATTTTTCGAAATTAGAAAAAATACACAGCTAAATACAAGAAAATATTATTTATTAATATACACTAAAGCTGTAAGAATTTTGTTCATTTCATATATGTAGATAGTCATTTGACTGAAATGATAAATTTGGGAACTTTTTATTTTTTAAATTTTTTAATAAATTTTTCTATTTTTCTTCGAAAAAATGATGATAAGACAGTTTCTATTGAAATGTTGGCACAAAAACATTTCAAATTTATGGTTTCAGTCTAATAACTATTTAGTCAACATATTTAATTTATGTCAATGACGATAGGTATTGATAACTTCGATTCAAATTATATCGAGAACCATTACCTATAGCTATTTTTATTAAGAGACCTTTTCTACGCAAAAAAACGTCGTAAATTTATATTTTTTTACTCAGTAGTTTTATACAGGTACGGACAAAAAGTTTATTACTCTTCAAACCGGTTAAAAAATATGTAGGTGGCGCCCTCTACAAGTATGAGTCATATTGACAACAAAATCAAATTTCTCATGTGAACAAACCTCGAGACGCCAATTTTCATCCAAATAGTGACGCTGCTTCAGAAAATATTTGGAAAAAATCGAAATAAAAATGAAACTTCTACACCCTCTATCTCCGAAACTAAGCATTTTAAGACATACATTTATACGAACTTTTTTACTTATTTTTATCTGCAGAATATCTGCAGAAATTTCCGAAATACAGTTCGGGCCACCATGTATAATATTAAGTTATCCATCCCTAATTAACACCAGCAGGTCTTTACCCAACAGCAGCAGCAACAACCGACGCCGGCAACCACGCAATTCGATCCACGCTTTGCTTCGAGTTCAACCGAATCGCCGTCGGCTTTTTCCGGCCAGCAACACCCGAACGCCCCCGTCCATCCCTACGCCCCTGCAATCGCGCCACCCCCACCCAACACGACCGCCCCCACCACCGGCATCAATCAATACGGCAACGCAGCGTCTGCGCAGCAGTTCCATGCGACGTTCGGCGCCGGCGCCGTTGCCGAGTTCGCGACGAACGGGGCAGGAGGCGGAGGAGGAGGAATCGGCAACGGTGCGGCGTTCAATACGTACGCGGGCATCTACGGTGAGTGTGTATGTGTGTGAAGCAGCAGCGATGCCAGATTGGGGGATTTTTACTGAAATTTAGGGAAAAAAACTTGAAAGGGATTTGGAGTTGGGTTTTAAAATCTATGGCATTTTACAAAAATAAAGGCTTTCAGGACAAATAAGGAATACAGAATATCCAGCTTTTAAAGAGATATTTCAGGAAGCCAATTTTATATATATATGGGTGTTTTAATTTTATAAAATAGGGTGTCATTTTTGTGGGTTTTCTCGTTTATGAGTAGAGATACAACGATGCAATTTTCACATTACTTGCTACTATTTTATGAAACCAAAGATGGTACACACAAATTTGTCCTAGCCCCCTTGGTTTCTGAAATACCGGGCGAATTAAAAAAAATTGTATTTTCCACTCCTTCGCATCTTTATCATCTTGAAATATATCGAAAAGATGAGTTCCGTAGACTATTTTACATAGAAGTACGTACTAGTTTTTTTCGATGGGAGCTGTCATTTCCCAAATATGACTCAAACTTATGTTTTTTTTTAATATAACAGCCTGTATATTATTTTTTTATTTTATTTGCTTTGTCATGAACTTTCTACAAATGTGCTAAAACCACAAATCTATGTGTAGCATCTTTAGTTTCATGAAAAAGTGGCATAGTGATGTGAAACCCGTACCTATGTAGCTTTGACTCAAGAACGGTAAACTAATAGGATTGCTCATCCTCATAAGACGTACATTCGCCTCTTCCCGCGCTTCAGCTGACAGTTGTGACGTCATTGTAGTCCTTATCATGATAGTGTGTATAGCTGAGTAATTTTGAGTTAATTATTTTGTCGATTTTAAATGTGAAAAAGGTGTTTTTAAAGTTTTTAGAGCTATAGGAGTTTATAAATACGTTCATTTTGTGTTGTAGATTGTGACTAAGTGCCTACAATATTTTATTTTAAAGCAAAATATGAAAGTACTCTAAAAAGAATGCCTTCAAAAGATGATGCTGGGTACTGCTGTTCTTAAAAATGCATTATGCGAATATTTAATACGATATATACAGTTAGTTTTCTATACTGCATACATATAAGGTATTTAAATAAATAAACTATATAATGAATATTTTTCATACGGCAACCACTAATACACACACTATCATGACAAGGACTACAATGACGTCACAAAACGAGGAGTTTTCGCATGCACCTGGCAGACACTTTTGGCTGAGTGAGCAGTCCTATTAGGTTAACTGTTCTTGGCTCTGACTCATAAACGAAAACCTTGCAAAACACACGAAAATGGGACACCCTGTACAGTAGTGTGGTATAACTCGAGCGAAAAATTGCTTGGATTATACTCAATTATTGAAATAAGCGACATCGTACTGTATAAAGCGAATTGCGTGTTTCAACCATTTCTGAATTTACTATAGGTAATTATTTATCTAGGCAGTTACAATGGGAGGTACAAATATCGTCATTTTGACGTAATCTCAATTCAAAATTACGTCATTTCAACGTAGTGTACTGTTTGAACTGATTTATTGTCACACATAACTAAAGTGTCATTTAAATATTCGTATGTACCATTGCGATAAAAAAGTAGTACAACAAAATATGATTTAATTTAATCTGCTGGTCTATATTCTTGTGTCAGTGTCACGTAATTTTTAAAAAATGCCTTTAACTTCAGAGCAAAAATCGATTATATTTAGCGATTAAGGGATGGGGTTCCCATAAGGGACATTGCAGATGCATTAGGGATAAACAAAAAAACAGTGTTGTTGGCTAAATCCAAAAAGAAATCAATATAATTCAAATATCCTTATAGACCAGGAGTTCTATATGGTACTACTAATTCTTGTACTACTTTTTTTATCGCAATGGGTACCTATTTAGTGGGACAATTAAAAAACTCTTTAGAATGACACGATATGATAATATATCCTATAGTTAAAATACTCTCTCTGTGTTGATGAAGTGTATTCTACAGGGTGGTCCGAAATGTATTTCGAAAACTTCGGCAGCATATTCTGCAGATAAAAATAATGTGCAGAATACGCTGCCGAAGTTTCCAGAATACAGTTTGGACTACCCTGTATATTTATTCAAGTTCTAGGTGGAGTATAATTCCTTAGAACCGTCGAGCTATATTGAACTGTGGCACTGAACGCCAAACGCACGTTTTTAAACAATTTTGTACCAAATTGTTTTTAGTTGTTATTTTCGAGCATGCATCTAAATAATTATTCTTCTGTTATGGACAAAATGGAAAAACTCTCTCTGTGTTGATGAAGTGTATTCTAAATATAACCAAGAAATTAGAAACAAATTAATATTGCTATAAATCAATTTTTTATCGTAAAAACTGTTTTGGTTCTTGTAAATGCCATAAAAATCTATTTGTACCTTTACTTACTGCACCTTACCTTGTCTTTTAAGATATATTTGCCTATAATAATGTTCTAAACACTAGTGATTTTAACCAGTAAATTTTCTAGAGAATCAGATAAATTTTATAACTACATTTTGTAACATGTTTCGTTAATAAGTTACAGTTATTAATTATTAACTGTAACTGATATTAATAGTAGTTAATCTCATAATCTGAAGGTTACAGATTTTCGATTTTTTGCAAGTCACTCTTGTTTACCTGGTTTTATCTTAATAATTGCAATACTTATTATTATGAAGTAAGAAATAATGTATTCAAGTAGATATCCTAATATACTATGTAATGTACTACGCCGATATACCGGGTGCGTATGGTAATATATGATATAAATTAGGATTGATTGACATATTCAATTGTTTTTGGTCACTTCCGGTTTCACCAGAAATGACTACAACTTTTGATTTTTAAATGGCACCCACGGTATTCTTTTACTTTATTCGATAGAAAATGACCCTCTGAATAGAATGACTTATCATATATATCAACTTTTGACATTTTCGCATATGGTTTATTTGAAATTGTAACATGCGGTTCATAACGATAATCAATCGAAAAAATATTAAGACTTTAACACCCTGTAGCTAATTACAGTTGAGGGTTGGAACCTTTGGTGTTACACAGCAAAATAAAACACTAAATCACCACAATACACCAAAACACTTTTACTTTTACACTGGACGCGCGTTTCGCATCTGCTGATGATGCTAACATGGTTAGCGAAACGCGCGTCCAGTGTAAAAGTAAAAGTGTTTTGGTGTATTGTGGTGAGTTAGTGTTTTATTTTACCCTGTAGCTAAGAAACAAAAATGAAAAATATGAAAAATAAATCTCATTTTTACGTAAGGAATCTCCCCACGAGAGATGGCACATGTTTTTTGAAACACCCTGTATTATTACATTTGCTTTACATTATTTTCAACTTTTTTCCAAATTTATATTATATGATTTCTTTATATGAGTTTTGCGATAAAACGCAAGGTTTTCGAGATATTTATAAAAAAATTCCAGAAAAATATGCAGTTTTATATTAAAAATCAACATTTTCAATCCTAAATAACTAGGAAAATATTAATTTTCTGAAAAAATGTTACAGAACATTTTTTGCTTAGAATTTATCCCTTTATTGATTTTTGCAATTAAAATGGGTGATTTATTTTTCACCCCCGAGAAGGGGTGGTTAGGCACTCTCCCCCACGGTAAAAGCACACATTGTTACTATGTAACTTTTGTTTCTTACATTTATCTCTATTCACTGTTAAAATTTCGGACACTAAAACCCCGCTTACCGCTGGGAGTAAAAATTCAAGGCCGTGACACACGAGCTAGCGAGACGACAATAATAGCTAACCAAAAGTGGTAAGGACGCGCGATTGTCAAAAGTCAAAGTAAAACAAATAGGCTGGCAATATGGCGACATGCATTCGTCAAATGTTTTCATGATGTTAACTCTTACAACTTTTATTTATTTTCTTATAATTAACATCTTGTTTCTTTTCAGGAAATTTCCAACAACAGATCCCAGCCAACAGCTTCGACCAATTCCCCCAAGCCGAACACTACGCCAACGAGACGAAGGAGAACCAATACACCAACCTGAACACAGTGTCTACAAGTTCCAAACTTGAATCTTCGTTCAGCGACTTGTTAAACAATCGCTACGCCTACGCCACGTACGAGGAGACGACCAGTTTCGCCAACTCAACGCCCGACCAACCGACGGCAAGCGCTGTTGCCAACGTGGCGGATCGCATCGTCAACCCTGAGGCCAACCCTGACGATTGCGACGAGAATTTCGGCGAAATCATCAAGAAAACGATGGTCGAAACAGTGTCGGCGTAAATCATATTCTAAAAGTGCATATAATATGTTATATTATTTAAAGTTATCGTTACGTTAACCTATATTTAATTATTATTATTATTATTATGAAAATGTAAATGATTTATATGAGGAAAAATGTAGAGAAAAAAATAGTAAAAGGAAAAAATGTTTTAAAATAAATGTTGTGAAAAATACTTATTATTAAAGTAATAATGTTATTTTTCTATTTGGTTTTTATTTATTATTGTTTCTCCAATGTTATGTTCTTTAAAATCAAAGAAGCTATTGCCATACATTACTAACATCTACAAATGCATGTGCAATACATTTATTTTTATTAGATTATATTAAAAAAGCCTCTTTTATTTTTCTTTTAGAGGCTATCGCTTCTTTCACTATAATTTTTGCTAAAATCTATTCTGTGCCCTGTATCCTCCCTGTATCCAAGGCTTTTTTTTAGTTTTTAGTATTTTTATTTTAGTTCTGAGTAATTTCTTCGAGTGTCTAAGACCGTGTAGGAATTAAATACTTTATACTCAAACTGAGAAAGGAAATTATAATCTATTAATGCTATAAGATTTCTTCAAAAAATATTATTTACAATTATTGGCAACAATTATTTTAAGCTTGATCAGACTTTTTCTATAAACTCCTTAAATATTTCACAAATAGTTGGTGAAAAGAAATAACTAAATTTGACCAAAAAATAACAAAATTTATTACATCTGCACATTAAAATAAAAAATGTATTTATGAAATATAAAGGGAAACAAAAACAAAAATATTTAACCAGATATCTTCTAAAATAATAAATATAATTCAAACTTTTTGAGTACACTTACAGAAATCTGTAATTTAATATACAGAAATATGTTCCTTTCTTTTAGTAAATAGTTCCAAGACCTACCACCATCAGCTGTGTTACGATTTGTTTACGAACGATTGTTTTAACTATTTCGCAATAATATTTACTTATTTATCATCTCATTACAGCTATTTTAATAAGTGGCGGCATTAATAATAATTGTGTGTAAAGTGTACTTACTCAAATAACGTAAGATAGATTATAAATTTAATAAAAGCAAACATGTTGGAGCCATTGCTGAGCCAGCTGAATAGCATGAGAGTGGTTTTGGCGAGCAGTTCGAAGCAACGTGCTAGTTTGTTGAGCAGTACGGTAAGAGATAAGAGATGGCGCCACGAATGCCAAATTCATCTTTTTCTATAAGTATTTTTCTAAGTTAAAAATCTGGTTTTATATAAAGGCAGAAAATAATATAAATAATGATTATCTATTGGGTTAGATTTTAAATATATTAAATGCAATAATTTAATATTAAATTAAGAAGTAGTAAAAATAAAATCGGATAGGGATTTTTATAATAGTATCCAATATTATGAGACAGATTAAAAGATGGCGCTACAGTGGACATTTCTATACATTTTTGTTATTTTTTTTTAATTTAAAAATTATGAAATAAACAACTGGGAAAAATTATAATTTTAAGTCAGTAACCTAAGAAAAAAGGATGTAATGTGTATGTATACTGAGTGATTCATTGTTCCAAGTTCCAACAAACTAAATATCAGGTTTCTTCTTTGAGATTCTAACTTTTCAGTACACAGGGTGAGCCAACGGTAAAGTCCATTATCTCATTTGTTGTTTCGAGATTTACAACAAAATATTGAATATAAAACTTATAGAGACGGTTAAGATACACATTTTAAAATTATTACAGAGTATACAGGGTGCTTCAAAAAAGTGTGGCGAATATAACATATATGTTTTTTAAAGGCAACACTCTATTTTTTATTTTATTTTTAGATTCTGCGTAAAATTCCATAACTTTTTTATGTATAATGTTATATACCTACCTAAAATTAATAGTTTTTGTAATATTTAAATTTGTTTAAAGAAATGTTAGATTGCAATGCGGTAAAAAATTGTCTGTGATGCCATTGTTTCTGAAAATGGACAACTAAAATTTGGTAGGAGAATTTTATAGAGATATCGAAAAAGACATATGTAAAGATATTTTAGTTAGACACTACAGGGTGTTCAAAATGTATTTATGCATTTCAACTACTTAAAATTAAGAAATTTCAAATTCTTAAATGGTACACCCTATACATTATCATTTTTTCTGATAGATTTTACAAAAGTCTTCAACTTTTATTAAGTATGTCATATGCCTATTTTTAATAGTTTGCGCGTTATTCCAATTTTTCCTATTTTTACCCATATTTTTAATACAGTTACGCTATAACATCATATTTTATGTAAATTTTTAATAAATGACATCTTGACCTTGCCAAAATTATCGTCAATTTTCATTCCCAGCCGTCTTTGACGTCGTTTTTTTTCGATCGTAGGTATTTTCTTCATATTTTATAAAATAAAACGCTTGCTTTATTTTTTATATATCTAATTTATATATAAAATGATTTATTAGGAACAAAATGCGTTTTCTAAAAATATATTTTTAATATAAATTTTTAGAAATTGAAGTTCGAAATAGTTGCTTCGAGTTACGAGGAAAACCTAGATCCCACACAGCATACTTTTTCCGACTTCGTGGAGAAAACGGCTTTGGGAAAACTAAACGACGTGCTGGAAAAACTGAAAGATGACCAACGAAAGCCTGACATCATTATAGGATCGGATACCATGGTAGCTCACAACGGTAGAATGTATGGCAAACCAAAAACAAGGGATGAAGCTATTCAGTGCATATCAGAGTAAGTTTTTTTTATTATTTTGTCTCGGATGGTATTTAAAAATGAATATCGTTACATTCTACATCTTATCCAGGGCCAGCGGAAGGAAAATATTGAGACCGGGCGAGTACCCTATCTGGCGCCCTCCCCCCTCCTTAACAGTTATTATACCTCTCTTTTTCCTTCAGTTACTTTAACTACAAACTAAGCATATTTATGCTACTTTAACAATAAATTTTCACTTAATGATACTTCAAAATTCTTCTCTTCGTTTAATCTTAGTCTGCGATTGTTGTTTTTTCTACACCGGTCTCGAAAGTGACTCACTCCTATAAATTTTTTATTTTTTTTAGATAAAAAAACGAGTTCTGGTATGTTAGTATAATGACATATATTAGGTTTGATTGACGTATTCAATGGTTTTTAGTCACTTCCTGAAATTACTATAACTTTTGATTTTTAAATGCACCCTCGGTATATTTCTACTTTATTCCAAAAGAAAATGACATTCTGAGTAGAATGGCATATCATATGTCAACTTTTGACATTTTCGCTTAAAAAAATCGTATTTTAAATTTTAATCTATAGTGCCAGGGCTGTGTTAAAAATAAACAAATTATAGGGAGATAAACTTCTGAGACGCACTCGGTATATAGAGCATAAGAAATAGAATTCCAACTTCGGCAGTCTCGTTCTGCTATAAGTGATCTTTGAAAACATAACAGTATTTAATTGCAAGCAGTTGCATTATTTTTTATTATATTTTATTATTAAGAATTTAAGAAAATTTTCCTTTCTTTTTCACAAACAATTACATATTTAGTGCAGAATCAGTATTATGATCAGACAGTTTTCTCGGCTGCAAAATGAGGATCAGCCAATGTTTGAGATGCATTTCTTTGTGTGATTCCTCTAATGAGAAAATTCTACGATTTTGCTACCATTTTCAGCGTATTACTACATATTCAATCCGGAACAATCAAAACCACCAAAAGATTGATATCTTTCCCACTACTATTAATAAATTAATTTAATTAATGAGGCAAACTTATAAGTTTTTTTTGATAATAAGGATATCAGCATCCTCTTCAGCTTCTTGCGAATGAATATTTGCCGCATATAACTTTAGGGCAGATCAGCCATTAATAATAACAAATAAATGGTGTGGATAGTAGAAAAAGTGCAATTTTGAGCGGTCAGTCTAAAACTGTTAATTTTGCTGGCTCTTGACCCAAAACAGTTTGTTTAGAAATTTATAAAAACGAGAATTATAGAAAGAAGAATTATTTACAAAAAGTTGTTAGCTTTTGAGTTATAAAAATGCCACGAACAAATCCGATTTATTTTTTTTTATTTAATTTTGTTTAATATTCTTCCACGAAAATGAATTCGCAAATCCCAGTTTCGGATAGAGCACTCAAAAAACATATCGAATAAAAGAACTCAAAACTATCCCAAAGCTTTCGTGCTAAGGATTTTTTTGAGAATAATTTCAGTAAACTATAATAGGATACATCTAGGATATAGTATAGTGTTTATAATGTTTAGTCAGATATTCTCCCCTATGTGGTGTGGTAATAGCTAATGTGGAAATTGACAGTACCGATTAATTATTGAACTGGATATTCGTTACTATTTGTTTAGATTACTGTTTTTAAATATTTTAGTTGCTGTTGTGGCGCTCCTCGTTTGGCCGCCCGGTGCGCCCGGCCCTTCCGCCGGCCCTGATCTTATCTAAGATGACAAGTTTGACCAAATCACCCTGTACAGGGTGGTCGAAATTGGTCTGTTTTAACAGAGAAAATCTATTTCTTGACTAGATAGAGCAAAACCGACATAGATGTCATGGGCTCGATTTCTGAGACACGTTTAAATGGCATAAACCGCCTGTTGATATTTTCACTGCCAACTGAGATACCGGGTCTTTTTGATTTTTTTACCATTTTGAAAATTGCCCATAACTTTTTTATTTTGCGGAATAATAAAATTCTGTAAAAACGCACTTTAGGCACTTTTTAAGAACAATCCAGTGGCGTAGTCAGTTTTTTCTATACTTGCTATTTTTGTTATAAATAATACAAAATATAATTGTTTAAATGGAAATCATAGTTGACTATGAACTTTAAAAAAATGCTGGCGTTTAATCTTTTCCAACGATATAAAGTTATGGGTATTTATTTCTATGTATGAGAGAAATATTAGTTTTTTTATCTTTATATCGAAGCGGGCCTTGATTTTGTATTGACCTATTTGCCTAATTATTTTTTTACAATTTTATATTGTATATTATTATTTATCTGCATAATTAAAGACTTTTGAAAAGGTAAATTAACATTCTCTATTAGTATTAGTTATTACAACTGAAATCGATACAATAAACAAAACTAAAAAAACGTATTTTTTGAGCGACGAATATATTTTTCTAAAAAAAATCATTAAAGATGTTCAAACTGAGCACCTGCTTGTTAAATACACAATAAACATCATTTACGCACAGAGTTACAGCGACTTATTAGGCGAACTGGTGTAATAAGTCCGAAAGCTTGCTTAGTAGCCTTCTGTAATTCTTCTCTCGTCCCAATGGTTTATATATATATTAGGTCTTTTAATTTCCTCCATAAAAAAGTCGAAAGAAGTTAAATCATAGGACCTAGCAGGCTAAGATATGGGGCCTCTTGTTCCAATCCAATTCTCTCTAAATTCTCCATTTAATAGTTCAGTTGTAACCATGGCGTTTTAATTGTAATTGGTAATACTAATATAGAATGTCGAGTTACCTTTTCAAAAGTCTTTAATTATGCAGATAAATAATCCTATAGAATATTAAATTGTGATTAAAAATAATTAGGCAACTAGGTCAACACAAAATCAAGGCCCTCTTCGATATAAAGATAAAAAAAACAATATTTCTCTCATTTTTAGAAATAAATACCCATAACTTATATCGTTGGAGAGGATTAAACACCAGCATTTTTTAAGTTCATAGCCAACTATGATTTCCATTTAAAATATTATATTTTTTATTATTTCGGACAAAAAGAGCAACTCTAGAGAAAAACTGATTACGCCACTGGAGTGTGCTTAAAAAAAGTGGCCCAAGAACGTTTTTAGAGAATTTTATTATTCCGCGAAATACAAATGTTATCGGCAATTTTCAAAATGGTAAAAAATTCAAAAACACCCCGTATCTCAGTTGGCAGTGAAAATATCAACAGGCGAGGCGGTTTACGCCATTAAATGTGCCCCAGAAATCGAGCCCATGGCATCTATGTCGGTTTATCTTATCAGGAAATAGGGTTTCTCTGTTAAAACAGACCAATTTCGACCACCCTGTACATTCACCGGTTAATTTAATAAATCGTTCTTACCCTGTGAAATAATAACAAACAGATAGAGTATTTCTTTATTGCTTTTATTGGTTTCAGCTTGACGCGAAGTGGCCTGCCCAATAGTGTTTACACAGGTGTCGTTATATGGTACAAGAACAAGATTCACAAGTTTACAGAAGTCTCCACCGTCTATATGGCCAAACTGACTGAAGAAGAAGTGATTGCTTACGTAGATACAGGAGAACCAATGTAAGACAACTAAGTAGCTGTATAGGTTTTTTTTATTTGTCCAACTCATTCATTTTTCTCAAAAAAAGTTTTTCTCCAAAATAAAAATTTCTTTCTAGTTTGGTTTCTAGCCGACATATGAAGTTTTTTTCTTAAACATTAGAATGTCATTAGAATGTAGAATGAGTGAGAGGGGGTTAATCAGTGCGACCTTAAAGATCTATTGTGCCCCCTTCCTTGAGTCATTACACAACAACTTATTTATATATTAGTCTACAACCCATCATACCTTGTTGTAGAGGGGGCAGGGTATTTCCCATCCTCCTCTGACAACAGATGTTCTTTCTCCGAGGCTGGAGAATCTGTCAATTTTCTCCATCTCTTTAACTTGGTCTATCCTTAGACCTGATACCGGTGTTGTCCCGTATCTATAATAGAGGATATGCCCCTCTTTCTCTATTGCCTCCTTGGATTTGAGGTCAATTCCTATTGTGAGGACCTGACCATGACCCCCCTCCCACGAGTTGATGATTCGCCAACTCGATGTCCTTACATTGAAGTTCTGACCCTGGATAAGGCTCAGCAGGTAGGTGTGTCTTTCCCCTTGCCCCTCGGTTTGGTGGCCGTGATGGCCGTCCCCTTTAAGGATGTTTTCTCTCTTCACTGCAACCAGTTTCGGCCCCTGCCAATTTTTAAGCTTAGTAATAGGGTCCACCAACCAATTCGCCGATTCTTGAGATACACAATCTATGAGGATCATGCCCACCCGAAAGTGTATCCGCGCAAAACGCAACTGACCCACATTTTGTAGATCGTTTTGTTGCGATCCGATCGCCACTACTTCGTCCAGTATAGCCTCTTCTAGAGACGTTAGCTGGTCGGTGGTCAGAGCAACCTCTGGGAACTCCTTTGGCAGCACCGCCATTTTCACTTGTCCAGCAATAGCGGCAAAGCTGGTGATACGTCCTTGCTTGCCTCCCGGTGTTGGACGGCTTTCCATCCTGGCTTTTTTCACTCCCTGTCAGAGAAGAGGTGAGAAGTTCTCGCTCCCTCTCTTGCCCTTTGATGGAGATGAGTCAGGTTGTTTCTTGGTTTCATTACTCTCCCCTTTTCGGACGAGCGTTTTTGCTTTTGCTTCCTCTGGAGCGAGTCCTTCGTGGAGCAGTCGGAGGTATCTCCCTGCTTCTGCTCCGCTAAGACCTACTTTCAGAGGATCGGCTAGCCTGCCTGGTTGACCCAGGCCGGGTAGACGAAACGGCAGTTTGTGTCGCTTATTGGGTCTAGAGGTAGGCTCCCGACCCTTGCTGGAAAAGGTGGTAGCTTCCCAAGCAAGCGTCAGCCACCCCTCTTGTAGTTTCCTTTGGATTTGGTCCCTTGGAACTTTCATTTGTAATGTTCCCAGTGTCGCTAGGAGACTTTCCCACAGCTTCACCGGTGGTGTTTTTAGTACTAGATCTCATAGTGTTCCCACGAGTCGCTAGAGATAGTCGGTCCACTTCTACAAAGCTCCGCATGTAGAAGTAAGGGGTAAATACAATGGGGTGCCCCCTGATGCTCCAAGGTTGAGGCCAGTAATGGCTAGTCCTCTATCTAGCCACGCATCCCTTTGACCTGGTCCCGCCATCGTAGGAGTTAGGTTTTTGGTGAGGTTGTCTCCTCTTGGTCCGGGCGGTTAAGCCAAGACCCCCCCACACCCTCTACCCGCGAGACATGACCGTAGTCAGTAGAGGGTGCCTGGTATGACGGACAAGGTTAGCCCCGTCCGGCATCGTTATATGTCTTGGTGCAATTCCCTGGCCACGACACTACAGTCAGGAACAAGACGATGAGTGAGATGCTTGTTAGACCAAGCCAAGCGCAAGGGGATTTCCCCCAGCACTTAACCAGGGGCTTCCCCACCAACGACAAGGTCTTGCATCTCCTAGGGGAAGTAGCATATCATTAAGGAACACCCTGTATATATTATCATTTTATTTCATTTAATTTAACCAGATAATTTTGCTTTCCTTCGTGTTATCTTAATAAAGTGCACTAAACATAATCTTTTGCAGCTTTTAGATAACACGCTGTCAATCAGAGTTATTGATATTTTTAATGCACTTGTGCAATAATTCTACACACAGAAGCTAGCGTGGAATACACAATAACCAAAATTTCATTCTATGTATACTTATTAATCTAGATTTAACCTTAAATTTTACTACTTTTTTATTATAGCTACCCAATTATAATTGACGGTAGAACCATGCATAGATAAGGACAAATAAATTAGATCATTACATTTACTACCCATCAATTTTCATTATTTTCCAATTTAATCAATTTTTAGGGGAAAAGCTGGAGGATACGGGATACAAGGTATAGCCAGCACATTCGTGACACGCATAGAAGGAGATTTCAATAATGTAATCGGGTTGCCCTTGTGTCGTTTAGCCTTTACCCTAAAGAAAATTGTAAATGAAAATTAAGTATATTAATAAATAAGTAATAGAAAAATTATGTCTTGTTTCTTCTTCTTCTTCTTACCTAAGTACACTTACCAGTACGAAAAACGGGTACCTCAATTTTTTTTTATGTGTTTTAAAGTTTTATATACAGGGTAGCTGACATACAGGGTGGTCCGAAATGTATTCCGGAAACTTTGGCAGCATATTCTGTAGATAAAAATAAGTAAAAAAGTTCGTATAAATGTATGTCCTAAAATGATTAGTTTCAGAGATACAGGGTGTAGAAGTTTCATTTTTATTTCGATTTTTTCCAAATAATTTATGAAGTAACGTCAATATTTGGATGAAAATTGGTGTCTGGGAGTTTTTTGACATGATAAATTTGATTTTGATGACAATATGACTCCTACTAGTCGAGCGCGCCACCTACATATTTTTAACTGGTTTGAAGAGTATTAACTTTTCGTCCGTACCTGTATAAAACTACTAAGTGCAAAAATATACATTTACGACGTTTTTTACGTGAAAAGCGTCTCTTAGTAAAAATCGCTGCGAGTAGTGGTTTTCGAGATATTTGGAATCGAAATTATCAATACCTGTCATCAATGAGATAAATTAACATGTTGACTAAATAGTTATTAGACTGAAATCATAAATTTGAAATGTTTTCGTGCCAAAAGTTCAACAGAAACTGTTTTATCATAATTTTTTTGCAGAAAAGTTTATGATCAATTTAAAAAAATAAAAATTTCCCAAATTTATTATTTCAGTGAAATAACTATCTACTCAACGCGTTTATTTTTCGTCAATAATGACATGTATTGACTATTTCCATTCTAAATATCTTAAGAACGGTTGCTCGTAGCGATTTTTACAAAGAGATATTTTTTACGTAAAAAGTCACAGAGATGTATATTTTTTTTGCTCGGTAGTTTTATACAGGTACGGACAAAAAGTTAATACGCTTCAAAACAGTTAAAACACATGTAGCCTTGCCTCTACTAATAGGAGTTATATTGACATCAAAATCAAATTTCTCATGTCAAAAAACTCCCAGACACCAATTTTCATCCAAATATTGACGTTACTTCAGAAATTATTTGGAAAAAATCGAAATAAAAATGAAACTTCTACACCCTGTATCTCCGATAACTAAACATTTTAGGGCATACATTTATACGAACTTTTTTACTTATTTTATTTTTTTCTGCATAATATTTGCCAGAGGGGACCACCCTGTATATGGGAACGGTAACGGTCGATTATTAGGTAAAATATAAGAGGTACCGCAAAAAGTTAAATATAAAAGTTATAGGGTTTTTAAATGTCTATTAGAGGGTAATAAAATTAAATATCCAGGGTCGGTCATAAAGTCGTGGCACATCAAAGTTTCATTTTTTTAAATGGAACCCCCTGTATATGATTCCATATTTCGGTTTTTCCTTCAATTCTCAGCAAACATCGAGATACACACAATGTACCTCAAACCAACTATTTCCGACTTATTGATTTTTGAAAATATCACTTAAAGAATTCGATTTAATTAATAATTTAACTTTAAAATACGTAAAAATTTTAAGGTGTCCGTCTTTCGTGCCGGTGTGTGTATATTTTAGATTAGTAATTTATCCTAGATTAGTACAGTATGTATATACTGTAACTTGACTAAATATCTTCAAAAAGAGTTTTCCATCATATGACATTGGTTAAAACGATAAAAAACATATAAATAAACAAAACAAAATTCAAATTTTAATTTCAAGTTTAACTTTGTATAACACTCCATATATCTAAACAAATGATTAAAATGTATCTCCTGCTTAACATAATAGATATCTGTATCACTCAACGACCTTTAAAAAAAACGTATACCAAATAAAAGGCGGTATTTCACCTCAGGACACCTCGTTCAAAAATCCTGCTTCCTGTATTATCGCCAACCGGTCTGTCAAGGATTTTGACGGAAAACAGGTAACAAATTAACCTATATAATCAGTCATAAACAGAAGCAAACGATAAATCGTTTTACAATAAGAGAGAAGTGAGATTTGTTAAGGATATCCTCCTTATAATAATTTGAATGCACTTATACTTAATACACAAAGAGAAATAATTTAACAGGGTTAACTGTGTATATCATAAAGATAAGGAGGTATAGTCTGTACAATCACTCGGAGTTTGGAATTGGAGTTTGGCCCTCCGTGCCGCTCTTCACAGTCGAAGAGCTTGCCTCCGGCTGAGGAACCCGTGAGGTGGAGGCTGGAGGATCTGTCTCCATTTTCTCCACCTCTTTAAGACCTGATACCGGTGTTGTCCCGTATCTATAATAGAGGATATGTCCCTCTTTCTCTATTGCCTCCTTGGATTTGAGGTCAATTCCTATTGTGAGGACCAGGACCTGACCATGACCCTCCTCCGAGTTGATGACTCGTCAACTCAATGTCCTTACATTGAAGTTCTGACTTTGGATAAGGCTCAGCAGGTAGGTTGTGTCTTTCCCATTGCTTCTCGGCAGAAAGACCGTTACAGCCGCCATTTTTGGATGTTTTCTCCCTTCACTGCAACCAGTTGCGGCTCCTGCCAATTTTTAAGCTTAGGTGCGATTTCCACCAACCAATTCGCCGATTCTTAAGATACACAATCTATGAGGATCATGCCCACCCGAAAGTGTATCCCCGCAAAACGTAGCTGGCCCACATTTTGTAGATCATTGTGTTGCGATCCGATCGCCACTACTTCGTCCAGTATAGCCTTTTCTAGAGGCGTTTGCTGGTCAGTGGTCACACCAACAATCCTCTGGAGCAAGTCCTTCGTGGAGCAGTCAGAGGTATCTCCGTGCTTGTGCTCCGCTAAGACCTACGCTCAGAGGATCGTCTAGCCCGCCTGGTTGACGAAACGGTTGCTTATGTCGCTTATTGGGTCTAGAGGTAGGCTCCCGACCCTTGCTGGAGAAGGTGGTAGCTTGTGTGCCACTTGTGGAGGATGATCCCAAGCAAGTGTTGAGCCGCCCCTCCTGTAGTTTCCTTTAGATTTGGTCCCTTGGAACTTTCATTTGTAATGTTCCCAGTGTCGCTAGGGGGCTTCCCCACAGCTTCACCGGTGGTGTTTTTAATACTAGATCGCATAGTGTTCCCACCAGTCGCTAGGGATAGTCGGTCCACTTCTACAGAGCCCCGCATGCAGAAGTAAGGGGTAAATACAATGTGGTGCCTCCTGATGCCCCAAGGTTGAGGCCAGTAATAGCTAGTCCTCTATCTAGCCACGCATCCCTTTGATCTGGTCCCGCCATCGTAGGATTTAGGTGAGGTTGTCTCCTCTTGGTTCAGTCGGTTAAGCCAAGACCCCCCCCACACACCCTACACGCGAGAAATGACCACAGTCAGTAGAGGGTGCTTGGTATGACGGACAGGGGTAGCCCCGTCCGGCATCGTTATATAGCTTAATGCAATTCCCTGGCCACGACACTACAGCCAGGGACAAGACAATGGGATGCTTCTTAGACCGAGCTAAAGTGCTAGAGGAGATTCGTCCAGCACCTGACAAGGAACTTTCCCACCAACCACCAACGACAAGGTTTTGCATCTCCTAGGGGAAGATACTTGAACGAAACTTGAGTCAACTATTTTTCTTCGCGTATACACCTATGATTTCTTTTTTAATAAATAAATTTATATTATATTATTCACAAATCTTCTCACAGTGTTCTAGTTCATTCATCGCCAAAGCGGCAACACATAATTAAGCAAAAAATGGCCGTGGTTCATTTCTCATTACTTTCGAATATGCATTGTTGATTTGCTGCAACTTAATAATAACGAGAGAATATGGGAAGATGACTTTTTCCTGTTGATTTCCCGAGCGGTCAGGAAGTGGAACGCCGGAGATGCCTTTCTTATCCGACAGATTCTAAATAAAATACTTTCTCGTTTTTGTTTAACGATATAAATAAAAACAATGAACAGATTTCGTATCCACCTAAAGATGAGAAAATTTATCCGATATTAAATGAAATCAAAAAGAAAAGACATTGTTAATAATTGATTTAAGAGGGTTAATAATCTTTAAATTTATGTCTGTTTCTAATTTCTGGCAGTTATTTTAAATACACACTGTGTGACTTCGAGATTTTTCAATCAAGCTTTTGTATAGTTCATATCAGATAAAATTTTAGTCACGTAACTATGCTTGTCCGGCACAGCGTTGCCGACTTTTACATATTTTCTTTTAATCAAAATATTTGAAGAAACAAAAATAAATTAATTATAAATATATAAACAGTTATTATTTACATCAACAAAACTCACATCCTTAACAGCACTTAAGGACATAAAGGGCCATTACTACCGCTTTCCTGTTCAAAATATTCTAATAAAGTTGCGATAAGTTTTTTACGGCTATTAAGCTATCTTGTACAATTCGCACTAAAAGAGGTTCTAAAAAGAACAATGTTCGACTGCAAGATCTGCTAGTAAACATTTTCAAGCTTAAAGTTTCACAACACTATTTATTTAAACCAAAAACTCGTAATATACAAAACTAAAGTGTCAAAACGAATGACAATGTCAGGGAATAAATAAATTACTACCTGTATCATCAACCAGCCTGAAGTGTCCACTGCTGGACGTAGGCCTCCCTCAAATCTTTCCACTCTTCTCGGTCCTGTGCCACTTGGATCCAGGTTCCCCTAAATCTCTTTAAGTCATCGGACCATCTTCTCGGAGGTCTGCCTCTGTTTCTGAGAACATCCTGTCTTGGCCGCCATTCTAGTATTGGCACTACCTGAATACCCAGCACGAGATTTAAATTTCAGTTAGTCAGCCCGGCGCCGAATATGTCCATGGTTGGCAACAATGAATTTAAAAATCGCGCCCTCGATTAAATAACTAAAAGTTTAATCGATATCAAATATACAGGGTGGTCCGAACTGTATTTTGGATACAGGGTGTGGAAGTTTTATTTTTATTTCAATTTTTTCCAAATAATTTCTGAAGTAACGACAATATTTGGATGAAATTGCGTCTGGGAGTTTTTTGACATGAGAA